TAAATATATATTTTTTTTATTAAAATACTGTTCTTTTAACCAGCATACACCCTGGCTCCCGCACTTGATAGTAGCACAAATTTGGACAGACTACATCTTTCAAAGCCTTGGGTTTCTCCCCTGGAAAACGAGAATGATAAATGTATCTTACATGGTTGTGAGTCTACTGAACTCAATAAACATTCAATAAAGTATGGCCTCACTCATTAGTGAACAGAGGACCTGTGACTTTGAGATGCCCAGGCTTACCTTGAGGCAAGATATTGACCAGGATTCTCACTGCAGTTTCTTTCCCCATTTGCAGGGACTTGCTATCTCCAGACTCAGTGCTGAGCTGTTTGTATCCTGGTGATCATGGAAAGAAAACTCCAAATCCAGCCAATCAGTATCAGTTTGATAAAGTTGGGTAAGTCAGCAGTATTTGCTCCTCTCCTGTCCTCTCTGCTTCTAAATGTCTCTTGTCTGTGGCTCTAGTCCAAGCTGGTGACCTGTTTAGGCCAGAGGACAGGGAGAACACGGCTGGAAAGTACATTTGTTTGCTTACAAGGTAAAGGGATGCCATAGATAGGTGGAAAAGGGTTGAAGAAGAGTTGAGGAGTGTAAGTACAAGTGATAACAGCTGGGAGGTGTCATTTAGCACTTCCCAGGAATGCATCAGGCCCTGGGTTTCATCCACAGCATCAGAGAAAAGGAAACAAAACAAAACAACTGATACAAAAATGTATAACATTTTAATTCTCTATGGGTTAAATTTTTTTTAAGTATTTTATAGGGGCCAGAAATATAACCCTGCAGCACAAGTGCCTGCGTGGCAAGTGCAAGGTCCTGAGTTTGCTTCCTGGTACATACATACATACTTTTATAAATTGGTTGACCCACCAATGCAGAAATCAGTATACTACTGCCTTTTCACTTAAGGGGTTTTTTGTTTGTTTGTTTTTTGAGTTAAAGACTGCAAAGGGAGAGAGAGGAAAGTAGATATCCACTCCAGAGAGCTAATGAAATTAAGCGCCTTTTGCAGTCAGCTTGGCTATAATCACAGGTAGGCCTGAGGGTTTGGCCTACATGCAAGCATTGGAGGACAGGAGGGTTGTATCTATGAACTACAGCAGAAATGTTTTTGTTTTATTTTTTGTCTTTTTGAGACAGCATTTCACTAGGCAGTTCAGGCTATCCTTGAACTCACTTTGTTGCTCAGGCTGGCCTTAAACTTTTTGGTGATCCTCCTGCCTCAGCCTTCCAGTGCTGGGATTTCGAAGTACAGAAATGATTTATAAAATCATTTTAGGGGCTGGGGAGATGGATCAGTAGAATAAGCGCTTGCCTGGCAAGCACAAGGGTCTGAGTTCAATCCCCGGTTCCGCCAAAAAAAAAAAAAAATCATTTTATTATCTTTTTTTTTTTTTCTGCAGCATTTTGACTTTGAGAGACTATGTACTTGACCTAGGCCATCCCTATTTATGGGTACAGAAGCTGGGAGGCCTCCACTTCCCCAAAGAGCAACCCCAGGTAGGTACCCTGACCCCATCCCCTTGGCTGAGGACTTTCCTGACTAGCTAGTTTTTTGAGAGCCCAACAGCTATGATGGTCTTGCCAGGACTCAGCATCTGGCCTGTCATAGTAGATAAACCCTATCATTGCTAATGCACCAAGCTTGGGGTACGGATGGTCCAGGCCAGGCAGGCTGGCAGATCCCAGGAGAGACTTGGTTCCTGGAGGAAGGAAGGAGGGTTCTCAGATGTGTACCTCCCACTGTCATTCACAGCACACAGTCATTGCTGACCACTCACTGAGTGCCAGCCACATGGAAACAACCATGAAGCTGCTGAAGACCAGGGTGCAGTCCCGTCTGGCCCTCCACAAACAGTTTGCATCCCTGGGTAAGCCAGTGTTGGGGCTGGGCCTTAACAGCCACTTAATAACATAGGGACAAAAACAATACCCTTTAACTCAAAACTATCAATTCCAAGGACTAATCAAGAAGATCTGGATTCCTGCCTTTATGTGTAGGGGTATTAGACAGGACCATTCAGGCAGATGTCTGAGCTATCCCCAGAGCCATTAGGGTTGTCCTAGCCCTCAACAGGAGTCCCAAAGCCTTTAGTGGTACAAGTTCACAGACTAATCAGGGTGGCTCATCCTGGATCTCTAAGTCACAGACATTGATGAGCATTGGTATGCCTCATACAAGTGTTTAATGAGAACCTAATTCATGTGAGGCACAAAGCATAGTGTAGGGGAAGGAACAGTGGAGCGCTGGGCTTCACAGAGTTGCATTTAGCTCATCTGAGTACAGCTATGCAGGACCCCACGCCTTCATCCCTCTCCCAAGACCTACTGAGCTGGTTCTCCCAGGGTAGGGCTGAGCCTCCTGCGTTTTCTTTCTAGCTCCCACATTACTTTGACCAGCTACTGACCTTCATGGTAGTCACATGAGGCTTCTAGTTTATTCATTCAGCAGATACCTAGCAAGTGTTTACTGAGCATCTGCAGGGTTTGGGTAGAGGTGGGAAAGGTCAGATCTTTCTGATCTGAAAGAGTCACTGTGAGGAAAGGCATTCAGTTTCTAAGACCCATCTGCAGGCTCCCCCACCCACTCCCCAGTCCACAATCCACAAACAAGTTTTCAGGTTCCACATGTATGTTGATCTCTCCAGAGCAGCATTGCCCTCCTAACCTTCCGTCCTTTGAGCTTTGCTCTGCATCGGCATTGCTGAGTGTGCATTATTTCAAGGTTGGCTGATTGTCATCTGGGACAGCCTTTACTGTGTTGACATATTTGTGTATTGTAACACCAGCAGGAATTTACCCTGGAGCAGTTCTCCAGCTCTCTTCCTTTGAGGAAATGACACAGAACACTTCAGTCATTCCCTCCATCAAGGTCAGCTCTGAAAACACAGCCCTCTGGGCTATATATTCCAATTCACAGTCACTGCTTCAGAGGGACCAACACTGGTTTTGGCTGCAGGGATTTTTGTTTGCTGCCCACCATTTACAATAAAAATAAAGCACAGTGTTGATGCTGGGGTCTGGTTACCAGCAAGTAGTTCTGGGTGAAGGTCAGTTTGGTGTGCCTGTATTCCTGGCATGTGTTGACCTTGGTACCTCTGGAATGCCAGGTATATAGCTGGACAGATGGCAGGCCTACCTTTGCCCTCCATAGAGCCCCGGACAGATGCTAGTTACCCAGCTGTGGTCCCTGATTGGCTACTTGTGATGCCACCTGTCTTGCTTCACTTTAGAACATGGCATCGTGCCAGTTACCAGTGATTGCCAGTACCTCTTCCCTGCCAAGGTTGTCTCTCGCCTAGTGAAGTGGGTGACAATTGCCCATGAAGATTATGTGGTAAGTGGAAAGGACTGCTGGTTCACTCTTGCTGTCCTGTGGGCTATGTGATCATATCATCTTTCAGTTCTTTACCCCCACCAGAAGGGTAGGGGATTGACTGAGAAGCCAGCAGCTTACTCTGTGTCTGTGATGCCTGTCCTAGGAACTGCATTTCACCAAGGACATTGTGGAGGCAGGCCTGGCTGGGGACACCAATCTCTACTACATGGCACTCATTGAAAGGGGCACAGGTAGGTGATTGCTCTCCTGATGACAGTGGTTTTAGTCAAGAGGAGCTGCCAAGGAACAAACATCTGAGATTGGCCAAAGGAAGCAAAAGATCTTGGAAACCTGCCATGGGGACTTAGCAAATAGTAGTTATTTTGAGAGCCACTGTTTAGTGGAAGACTAGTTCTGCAGCACATTACATCCATGTTTTGGCACAGTTAATTGTTACAAAAATCTCTGGAGTAGTGATTTCATTCCTGTTTTATAGTTAAGGTTACAAACCCAGGCTGACCTCTGAGCCTGAGCTCTCTGCCTTTTGCCTTACTGCTGTGTAGCATCACACCGCCCTTCCTGCCCCCATCACTAATGGGCAGAGATGGGCCGGGGAGATGGCTCAGTAGAATAAGTGCTTCCCTGGCAAGTGCAAGGGCCTGAGTTCAATCCTCGGTTCTGGGGGGAAAAAAAAA